TTCTCTAAATATAATCATAACATTAGCCTTGCGGTCGGATATATAAGACGTTATTTGTGATGCAATATTGATTGGAGTTGTATTACGATCACACCACTCATACCTAGACATCTACTTCAAAACAGTAAAGTCTTATTTGAGCTGTGACGTGCATATTCACCATTAATTGTATTCCAATCAATGACTTTCTTGATTCCAATACAAAGATATTATTATAATGCAAATGTGTATATTATTAAATTAAACTTATAAAGTATTCTAAGGACATATTTCTTTCTACAAAGTTTAAATGTTGTCGGAGACCGATAATAGAGTATCATTAATAATAATATAATGAATGTACGTTACAGTATGATGAAACACTTGTTTCAACTTTCAAACACTTTCAATTATATACTGCAGTAAGTATTTTCTCCAGTATAATGAATACCGGTGTAACGACTTTGAATTGAATGTAGCTTGTACAGATACTTAGGACCTTAAGTAAGGTGCACAAACGTAGACACTTCTTGTTTCCGACACGGCAGTCGGCACACCATCACAAGTAGTGGCTGTGTCCTGTAGCGGCGATCGGATACAGTCGTGAATTTGTATTGTCATATCAAATTTTGTATGAAAGAAACTAGTTTATTCTTACGTCCGATAGGGACGCTGCTTAGTTTCCATAGTAACTTTGTCATTAGCGTTACGAATACGGATCTGTCAAAGTTTGGACTTGCGAGTGCTGCTCACTGCTGGTAACCGTAGTTTGAGTCCGGTGGGGGCCGATCAGTCGGCCAACTCTGTATCGTCATTTAGTTACATTCATTTACGAATTTTGTTGATAAAAAGGTATTTGTTTTTTTGTGTAAAACCTGAATTAAAACATAAGGAAATATTTTGGTGTTAGCCATTCATTTCGAATATATAAAATAATACAAATTTGACCATTTAAAAAATAACAAAAAACTGAGATACGCGTCGCTTTTGTCGGATCCTGGGTCACAGATGACCTTTCTTCTTTGTTATAGTTGCTTGTGTCTTCCACTGACGAATTTTAGTTTTGTTCCAGTTACCGGCCCTGAATACATTTTAATCGTCAACGAGTTTGTTTAAAGTGGAAGCAACTGGACACAAAAAAAATACGTCTGCTTAAGGAGTATATTTTATACTACTTCCATTGAAATTAGATACAAGACACAAAAGTGTCCACGTTTGCGCAGCGCCCAAAATGTGACAAATTACTTATGAGATGTCCTTGTCTCCTTAAATGCTGCGTTGAAGAATTTTATGAATTCCTGTCCCAAATAGATTAATTAAAGTTAATGAAGTCTTGATCGATTTTGAAAGTAAGATGAAATATTTCTTAAAACTTAACTACTACTCTATTTAACTGTTCTCTCCGCAACGTGATTTCTGCTATATATAATTAATTCTTTTGGTAAAAAAATCTCCTGAATTGGTGAAAAAAGCACATTAAAATTATTATTTGGGTATGCAAACGACAGCACGGCTGTTGTATGTTGCGTATCTACAAATTTGTGCGGAACACTCGGTTGGCGAGTCCAACTCGCACTTGTCCTGTTTTGTTTTGAGATAAATACTATGACAATATTATTCCACTTCAAGATGATAAACTAACAATGGGTTCCCAAAATCTTGCAAAACTACCAACCCAAATATTATTTAAAGTTCAAGTTATGATGACGATATTCGTAACGTCATATGTTTAAGTTCACTGACATGCGTGCAGAGATAAAAACAAAAATTAAATAACATACAGATAATAATTACTTCATGTATTTTGTAACACATATTTTATTAATTCCACTAATTTTAGGACATGGAAATTGAGATACATATTTGTTTTTTTTTTTTGATTAAATTAACTTCCTAAATAATGAGCAGCGAGGAGTTCAAAGTATTAGAATACAATGTATTATTGTGATTCATGTATGTAATGGTACCGTTAGGACACTTTATTTTGAACAATCAAGAAAGGCACTCGTGTATCCGAATACTAAAACTATTTAAAAATAATATGAATCGTTAAAAAATCAAAAAATAACAACAGGAATTAATGAACGAAACAGAAAATTTGTGCGTACAATAACTTAAAAATCATTCATTTGTTTACGAACTAAAACATCATCTTCTTTTTAAAAGTAATTGTTCAAGCGCAGGCTTTCTATGGGCATTCATAATCACATATGTGAAAAAAAAATTTAATTAGGTACGTCTGTAGGTATTTTATAATATCACAAAATATTTTGATTATAAGATTCTGAAAATTTACGTAATTAATATAAAATAATGATAAGGCTCCATATTAAATATAATTAGATAACACACTGTGACTTCTTCATTTGCATTAGTTACAACAAGAATGTCATGAAGTTTCAAAACTTTTAATATAATACGTAAGAGTTTTTGTAAACTATGCAAATTTGGTATGAAAATAAAAATTATTTACCTACAAGTTTTTCGTTTTAATCAGGCATTTTATCTGTCGACTGGGTTCATTTGACCTTTATTTTTCAAAGTCAAGTCAAGTACCTCCAAGCTTATATTTCATTAAATCCTGGTAATTATTGCTTGGACATAAAAAACAAGAGCAATCATCTTTTAATGAAATATTTCTCAGTCCAGAAACTGTCTTATATTGTACTAGGAACGAAATGAAATTTATTAAATTCATCTTAAAATCTAAAATAATTAAATAATCGATTTCGGTGGTAAAGACCTACTTTATGCCCAGCGGCGTCGTTTAAAATCTGGCGCATTACTTTTATTACACGAGTATACTTCACCATTCCAAAAGAGCTGCAATAGGTTTTATTTTGTAGGTAAGGCCATCTTTGAGGGTCCAATGGGCACCATGTTCTTGATAGGAGGTCGAATGAGTACTATTATGTTAGTAAGTCCCAATTATGAGGGTCTAATGGGCACCATGTTCTTGATAGGTCGAATGGGTACGATCATGTTAGTAAGTACCAATAGAAAAATAAATAAATAAATATTTCCAACACTCATACCAATGAGTCTAGCCCCAAAGTAAGCACTGTAAGGCTTATGTTATGGGATACTAGGGTAATGGATAGAATACATATACAGTACATATTGTATAGAAATACATATTAAACATCCATGACTGGAGTACAAATGCTCGTATTCATCACACAAACATCTGCCCCCACCGGGATTCGAACCCGAGACCTCTCGAGTCGGCGACACCATGAAGCCCGGCGTACAAACCACTCGGCCACGGAGGGCGTCAATGGGCACCATGTTCTTGATAGGAGGTCGAATGGGTACTTTTTTGTAGGTAAAGTCCAATTATGAAGGTTCAATGGGTACTACTACTAACCACCCACCCTGACATTGAAGAATTCATAAACGAAGCCCTCTGATATTCTTATGAAATTAGTCATGTTTTTGAATGGGTTTAGTCAACAATAATGAACCAGCTAATGTTTTGGTTTCTTATACAATTTTAAATTTGTGTTATACGATTGGAGATAATATAACAGTTTGTCCATTAATTTTATAACTCGACAACATTGGACAAGAGATTCGATGGTATGGTCCCATTATTAAATAATATATAGGTAAAGTGACATTGTTTGTCATTCTATTTAGCTGAATAAAGGAATACATTAGGTGTATCTATTTTACTAACAATTTTGTGTTCTGACGTTTTGTGTTGTCTTTTTTGGTTTTAAGGTAGTCGGAGTGCTCTCAAGGAAGAAACCTACCGTCCGTCTGTAGTTCTCGTGCCTCTTTCACTGTAGGACTTGGCTAAATTTCTGTGGAAAACGGAATAAGCCACAGATGGAAAACGGAATAACAAAAGAAAAAAAAAGTAACTACCTAATTCAATAGATCGTTTTCCCCGAGAATTATGTATTTAGGTTTTTCCCTAATAGGCTTACTAACATTCGATTAGTCAAACTGTCGTGTTCGGTAATAGCACAATTTTTAAGCGGTAGTAATAGACTTATAAGTTATTACTTAGTTATTTAAATGCATGTGTGTTAAAAATCAGCATCTTTCAATTATATAGGTTGCTGACAATTTTTTAAAAATAAAATTGACATAGGTAGAATAAATATAAACATCAAATGTTATGTATTTTGCATGAAATTAATATTATTAGTATTGTTTCATTGTAAATATATTTGTTACATGGTATTGTTATACATCCAAAACTTGTATCGGACCTACTCTTTCAATAAATGACCCACCGGTTTTGCACGTTTACATAATCTTTTCCATATAAACTATAGGATAACTTTTAAGAATAGAGAAGAATTGACCAAACTTTCTTATCTCAAATTTGTGTTATTGGTAGTAATTGGCTATAAAAAATTGTCGAAGTCGAAATATAAAAAAGCCGGTTTCTATTCGAATCGGTGTGCATCAATCTTAAAATTATAATTTTGATCATTCTTAGCACTTTTTAAAAATAATATGAATAATCTATAAAATATCTGTGGTATAGTGATATCAATATATTTATCAATATCGATCAGAGAATATGTTAAGTGCCAAATTTGAAAAACTTTAGCAACAACATGTAACAAAGACTGGTACATCATTCAACATCTGCGTAAATAAATATTAATTCTGAGATTATCCATATTAATTGTCACTATATTTCGAGGCAACAAAATAATTGATCGCCGCACATAAAAAGTCTTTTTTATCGAATAAGCGAATAATTTATCGAATAAGAGCTTTTTTAATAAAAACAAACAAAAACAATACATACTTATACCCACAAACACAGACCTATCTGAAGTAAAGAATAAAGTTATTTACTATGTCGATATAACTAATTCTTACGGTTAAAACACCCTATGGAAAAAGAAATATTATAACCGCATATAAAGAAAATCGCATATAAAAATAATAATCAGCGATTTGCAGCTAAATCTACTATAAAAATATTTAAAACAATATATCATTGCGATAATATATTTTTAGGAATTCTATGGTCACCAATACGGAAAAAAACTTACACGAATTTCAAAAACAGAACAACAACCTCCACGGACACAGCACTCCACGCCAAAATTTAACAAAAAAGTTTTGTTATCGAACAGTAAACTTGAAAATCGAACGTGACAGAATATGAATTTGCGACAGAAGCAAGCGGCCGTTTCGTTTCGCGGCGCGATATGTACAGAGCGGCGAAGATTGCCGCGTAAACTTTATTAATGTTGTCTCGTGCCGCCGCCGCCGGTACAAGTATCAGGTGTAGTAGTGTAGGAGTCAATATACTCCAAGTCGTTCTAAATGACTATTTGAGTGAATTATGTCCTCATACTTGCTTGACATGACGAATTGGAACCTGTCCCAGTTTTATCATTCGCACTTCGCACATCACCCTGATACAGATAAGGATAAGTTATTAAGACATCTTCGCTGGGATCCGAAATTTTTAATATAGGTTTTCTTGTTTATTAAAATGTTATTGGACAAGATAGGCAATCATCTTAAGGACTCAATAATTGTACAAGAAAAAAAACAAAATTAGGGGATCCTATACATTTTTTTTTTTTTCATTTTAAAGTCGTTTTAGTTTGTTAATTTAATAGCAGTGAAGAACCAGATTCAATAGAAAACTAATAATTAATTTACTACAATAAACAAATGAAGTATTCCGTTTAAAGGGATAATCATTATATAATCAACCATCATTACACTAAAAGTGTAATTTTCTAAATGTCCGTCTGTTCATTTTACTAGAATATTATCAACAATTTCTTTTTAATTATTGTAGCATGGCATGTGATAGCTTACTTACAGGGAAATTAATAAATATTAATTTCCTTGTAAGCATAAATTGTTTCAGTAGTCATGGTGTTGTATAGACCCGCAATAACATCACTCTACGCGGTAATGCGAATGATGTCATGCAATAATGACCATGACTTAACAATATTATTTCAAATACTTCACTTGATAGTTTTGCAAAAGTTGTGAAATCAATTCATTGTCGTTAAAACATGAATCAACTCGAGTACCGTACATACGTTATGTATTTAATAATATCCATAGACCTTTCGTTCTTTAAATGTTTCAGATTGTAATAAATCTATCTGGTTGTACTATTTGTATCTCACAATGTTAGTAACATTACTAAAAGTTCTTATTTTACAAAAAAAGTGATTATAAAGTTGAGTTTACCCGCTATTTTAGTTGTTTGGTTCTAACAAAATAAATGTGTCCAAAAGTCCCTTCTTGACAATGTGATCACCATCAGAAAAGTGGCAACCAGGGCAGAGGGCAGCTAATTTCAATTCGATATTTTATTCAGTTTTATTATAAAAAACCTGGCAAACAAATTGTAACCTATATTGATCTAATGAAGTGTCAGTAAGAGTAGCACAAAGTTAGCACAAGAATATATAAATATTTTCAATATGGTGACGCTAGCTGATCGTCGTTCGATACATGATGTAACTTTCTTGTGTAAGATTTTGAATGGTATTTTTATGATCCTATGCTCCTGAGTAAGTTTCGCATTAGGATACCATCGCGGTTGCCACGTTATCCGGCATCACTCCTGACACACAAAACGTACCGTAGCAATTTGGGTCACCACTCACTCATCCCTAGGTTAAGTAGATTAATTGGTGAGCTTGTGAAGAAGGAGAATACTATTGATATTTTTCATGATAAAATACCAACTTTGAAATATAAAATATTTAGAATACTGAGAAAGTAGATACTTAACTGTTTAATATTATTGTTAATAAAATTAGTTTGCCAATAATGGGTCTGGTACGTAAGGGGTTCTCTGAACTTACGACCATATTTGGCAGTGTTCTCCCATTTTAAATAATTATAGAGCATGATAGACTGTTGTGGTTGTTCTGTGATTGGGCAAATAAATATTTGTGTAGTAAATTCCGTATGTAAAAATGTAAAAAAAAGCTGTTTAGCGCATGATGAGGCCATCTTTAATTACAGTTATATTATATCCTAATACTTAATCATATATGTAAGTTTGTTGGTATTAATATAGCTGTGTTGATGGTCCATAAATAAATAAATAAAGAATTTCCGGTCCACGAATTTGGACATAGTCATAGATAATCTCACTACTGAAAATGCTCCACTATTTTATCGGCATATCAGTAGTTTTAAACCATCTGATAAAGGTGGGTATGTAAAAAACGTGCAAGACGAAACTTCTTGGCAATCCATGGCTTCACCGTGCGGGTGCCAGATCCATCGTATGGGAGAGAGAGAAACTCTGAGCAATTATTTGTGATTATCTACTGAAACGTAATGAAAGCAAACCATTTTTAAATAGGTTGATTACTGATGAGGAGAAGTGTATTGATTACTTATGACAGATGACGTGCAATAAAAATCTTGGCCAAATCGGTCAGTAAAAAAATGTTGCTATGAAGTCAAGATGCACAGACTGCGCCAAATCTAGAGGATCTAATGATATTGGATGAGCAGAAGAGAATCATTAATAATGAGCTTTTACTGCCCGGAAAAACTATTAATTCAAATCTGTGCTGCCAACAGTTGAGACTCAGGCAAGAAAATGAGAACAAACGATCGGAATCGATTAACAGAGAGAGTGTGTGTGGTATTTTATCATTATATCGCCAAACCAGTGGTCTGAGTGAGATCTAATACGATTGAGCCAATAGCCACCCATCAATAATTAAGAGTTTTGCTGTTATGTTTTAATAGATCTACTATGACCTGTTTGTCACAAAATGTCACATTCATATCATAATAAAATCTTAATAAGCTATGCAAAAAAAAACGAATAAGTGGGAAAATTCGATGAAAACTTCATCCCCGGCCTTATATTTCACTTAAGTACTTCAAATCACAATAAGTTTGATATGAAAAAAAATTGAAATGTGAACAAACTGAATGTACAATGCTTTGCGTACATTTGCTAAAAAAGATTTTTTTATAATTCTTTCCCTGGCATAGAATAAAATAAGTTGTCACGTCAGCCTTTAAATGAAAAAACCGCACCCAAATCGGTTCATTCGTTTAGCAGCTACACAGACACACAAACTCACAGACACGTCAAACTTAGAACACCCCTCTTTTTGCGTCGGGGGTTAAAAATCAGATAAATCGGTAAGTACTACAGAGGATAAGAAGGAAAGACTGCTGTCAAATTAAATTTTAATTTTATAAAATCACTATTGTTTGAAGTTTAAGTAGGTATATAATAAAGAATCTTAAAAAAAACGCGTAATCTCGTACGTATTCCATGCCGTGCCGTATTCAGCTACACCTCTGTCTGCCAAATGGCCGAGAAAGCCGAGACTGTCCCGGAATTTTGCGTCAAGCATCGTGCCCAGTAATTAGACCTTACTCCCTGATTCCAGGTACCTACTACATTTTTACACAAAATTACTAAACTAAAAACTGGTCACAGTTACGAGACACGGCACTCATAATGCAAGATTAGGTGTAAGTATTGAATTCGCGCTGCTCGCCTTTCCATTTAAATTTGTAAACGGCGTTTTGTGAATATTTTTTTTTTCTATACGCCTATCTGAAAAGGGGGTCTTGCCATTATTTACCAGTGGCAGCAGCGTAAGTCTAATTGGAAAACAATCCCCGGTATCATTTTTACTATTTTACTAGCTGTCCTAGCGAACTTCGTACCACCACAAAAAATAGGGGTTGGTGGTAGAAAGAAGAAAATTTAGAGTATAAATAAAAGAATCGAAAAATTTTGTCTAAAAAAAACAATTTAAGGGTGGACCACGCCTAACATTTAGGGGAATGAAAAATAGATGTTGTCCGATTCTCAGACCAACTGAATATGCATATAAAATTTCACTAAAATCGGTCGAGCCGTTTCGGAGTACTTCAATTACGCACACCGTGACACGATAATTTCATATAGTAGATATATAAATCGTGATCTCGTTTCGTACGATCTGCGTTCGCGCCTGACTGACGTGAGCGGTCCGATAGTATAGCAAGCAAATAATTGCCCATTAAAGGTGAATGCACATACGTCCGTACCGTACGCACCGCACGCGGCGAATACGTCGCATTTCCAGATAGACTACGAAATGCGGCGCGTACGGTGACGTTAGAATTGTGCGAGGTTTCATTATGATGGCATACGCATACAACGAATTCTAAATGCGGCGCGTGCGGCGCGTATGTTGCGGACATACGTACGATCACCTTAAGTCGTCCACATCTCATATAAAGTGATTTTCACCGAACAAAAACATATTATCCATAATTTCCAAGTCGTTGCCACCGCGCCCGCCCGCAAGAGAGTGCATTGTACTGATTGAAACTGCGTTCCGTTCGACATAACTTTACTCACATCCTCTTATAGCTATTTATTTTTGATGTGCAACATCTTTCCTCTCGCTTTTCTGCAATTTGTGGGAGTGATTTCGTGAAATGGGACAGAAGTGTGTAACAGGAGGTCGCGAAAGCGCGCGCTATTTGATTTGATTTAACAACATCATGTTCAAAATCCTTTTGTAGTAGTTTTATTCCTTTTTTTACTAATATAAGGTGAGATTTGAAATGTTATACATCATACGCGACTACTGTATGTCTCGCTCGTTTTTTTTTATAGGTACACTAGCATCCGCCCTTGACTGCGTCCACGTTAACTTTAGACTTTTGATCCGAAATCGCCGAGGAACCTACTTTTTTCGGGATAAAAATTATTATTTGTTTCAATCCAAGTAGTAAATTATATGTGTGCCAAATTTTATCCCAATTCGTTTAGCCCCTTTCCGACTTCATCCAGCCTTGCAGTAAAATAGTCCCCAGTAAAATTTACTACCCCTTTTCACTCCGTTAGCGGCAGAGTTTCAAAGAACCCTGATACGTATTATTCTTTATTTCAGGTCTTCAGTATAAATACTAAGTTTTAAGTGAATCGAAATGCACGTTAAAATTAATCCATAATATCATAACTTGGGCACCTTCAATTTAGGGGTAGTTTAAGTAAACTAAAAATAGCAATCTTTATATTTTATGTAAATAAATATGCCTATGAAGTTTTAAGTCTTTTAGCTCAAAGAATTAGGTTTTTCATACAAACTTTCATCACCTTTTTACCCTATTAGTAGTAGATTTTTGAAACCCTGATACACGGGTTTCTTTATTTCTGCCCTTTAGAATGAAGTTTCGAGTTAAACAAAACGCGCTTTAA